CAGGTAAATAAGTGGGACGTACAACAACAACAACAACAACACGATGTGCACCGCAAAGAGTATAGCCGCCCATGCAGGGGTGAGCTAAATCGAATCTCTTCCTCTGGGCCAAATCAGTCCCCTGTGCACCGACGATTGCCGTGGAATTTCGAAAGCAGTTTGCCATCGCAACGAATCGAAAAACTAATGGGTTTTTCAAATAGCATTGATTTCAGGGGTTACCCGTACACATGTATATACGAATATACCTGACCGTCTGATGTGCTCTTTCGTAGAAACGTCCTGCTAGGGGGGGAGAAGCAACTTACGGCCAAAAAGTACAAACATCAACAAAAGAGCGAGGGGGCGACCATCAGCACCACCAGCTTACGTTTACAACCTTCGGGACCCAATATATGTATACGAGCGAACGAGGGCTCAAAGGAACGTAGGTACAGACAGAGTACGTATATAAGCTTCGTGCCATTGTGCCCGTCACGTATCGTCGTTTTTCGGACGAGTGTACAACATCGTAATAATAAGCTCCACGGCACTTTCGAAAAGAAGATTCTCGGCCGAAGGACGCCCCACACCCCCTATTTTTCTTCTTTCAAACTCCACACGCCGTACCATGGTGTATATACATATATATGTGTATAACAATAATGTACATATCAAGCCAATATACGCGTAAAAGCGAAGAGGCGCGAATAATGGGCGGTGCGTTCCGAAATGGGACGAGAGAGATGGTATTTTTTTTCTATTTTCTTTCTTTCTTTCCCAGTACACCACATATTATTGTTATTATCATTATGGCTATCGGAGTTGTTTTTGCCCATACGTTTCATTATTATTTTTTTTCCTCTTGTGTATATACTTTCCCCCTCGATTGAAAAATACACAAGAGAGGACTGTATATTCCGTTGGTCCATCACTCGGACGCTTAACGTGCATTTTTTTTTTTTTTTTTTTGAGCATCGTAGAAGAGGATGGGGTTTGAATGAAAGAAAAAACAACAATAATAATAATACTCCAAATCGAAAAGGGTCAGGGGGGTGAGGGTAAAAAGGATGGGTTCCCTTCAACTCCTCGTGTCGAAATTCGTGCGCGTATCGAATCGATGGCCCGTAATAACTGCGGTCGCAGCACAGCGAAACCCCAAGCACGTATCCATAAGAACAACAGTAGATAGTATAGTATAGAAAGAGAGGGACCGCAGAGATTATTTTCAATCTCTGTGGATGCCCTGGACCGTCGGCCGGGAAGGGGGATGAAGAGAATGACCCGTGGAGGGAGTGAAAAGACGCGCGAGGAGTTGCCCGAAGAGAGAAAATAAAGGAAATATGGAAGAGGCCCTTCCTAGAGGGGAGGTATGTGTGTGTACAGGAGGCACTATACAATACTTGCTGGCTTTCCCTCGAGCTGGCATTTGTTGTATATGTACATGTTCCTCGGAGCAGGTGCAAAAGCTTACGTGCATAATATATATGTATACCTATCCTCCACCGCAGCCTTTGCGAAAAGAAAAACCCGAAAAATAACACGAATCACCCTCCCTCGGTTATTTTCGTCCCGTCACTGAATGGCACACTCCAACTATATAATATATATATATATAATGACCATTACCGTGTTGTACCATATAATACGCCAACGTCGTGTTAAGATACTTTTCGCCGAACACGGGAATCCGCGCGATTTATTTTATACTACATACCTACACATACCGTATACGCGTGGACTCTTAAAACATCATTTGTCTCGACGAAGCTAAAGATTTTTGGGCTTTCGGTGAGCTCGGTGAATTCATAAGTAGTCGAAAGTTGTTTTGTTTTATTTTATTGTTTTGGAGTTCTCGATCGCGTTAAATTTGGGTTGAATCGATGAAATATTACTCATCCGGTGACGGAACAAAAAGAGCTGATATTTTTTTGTGGATTTCGTAAATGTGGGATTTGCGTGGGTTTCATTGAAAGTCCGACCCGCGGTTCACGCGTGACCGTTTCCGATAAATCGACGCATTGTTCGTGTACATGTATTAGTCACCTTTTGACGTGTAACTTTTTTTTTTTTTGTTCTTTCTACAATACTCGAATCAAAGCAAACGAATATACTTACTACAAAAGGCTATACTCCCAAGTGGTTGCATTGGTATTTATATTAGACTCAATTATGTATAATATGCAGTTGGAGCAATCGCCGAAAGTATTTTTCAAAAAGCCCCCCCC